TCGCCAATATACGTCATTCTTAAAATAGACGAATATCTGGCGTAAATGAACCTCATTCTCTCTGACCAAACTAAATTCCAAAGGGTAACGAAGGACACTACAGCCGAACTGAAGGCAAAGGTCGATAAATTGATCGAGACTATGAACGCCAACAAATCCGTACTCTACCTGCCAAAGATTATTGGGGAATATAAACCTAGATACGTGTATAGAAATGTCAAGACACATAAGCCTAGAAACTCACTTCAGCCAAACATTTGCCAGATACCCACACCCACGTACAGACTGGCGAAGCGACTCAACGGCTTGCTGACTCCTTATGTCCCTTGCACCTTCAGCCTGAAGTCTCCAAAGGAATTTGTTGACTTACTGCAGGAAACACGGGCCACAGGGAAAAGAGCCTCGTTGGACGTAGAATCACTGTTTACCAACGTACCTGTGGATGAAACAATCGGGATGATAGCGGACAGAGTGTATCGTGATCCGGCCTGTATTCCTCTTGACATACCAGAAAACATTCTAAGGAAACTACTCGAAGCTTGTACTAAAGAGGCACCCTTCTTGAGCCCGGATGGGCACACGTATAAGCAAGTAGATGGGGTCGCCATGGGTTCTCCACTAGGTGTCCTGTTTGCGAATTTCTACATGGGTACCATCGAACAAAAGGTCTTAGTTGACATGAACTTGAAACCGGCCATATACTGCAGGTATGTTGACAACATTTTTACACAGGTATCTGATGTCAGACATCTGCAGGAGCTGAAGGAGGCATTTGAGCGGAATTCTGTGTTGCGTTTCACTTACGAGATGGAGAAGGATGGGAAGCTGCCCTTTCTAGATGTAACAGTTATGGAAAGGAGCAGAGGTTTCCACACTGCAGTCTACACTAAGGAAACGAACATAGGAATGTGCCTGAATGCCAACAGTGACTGCCCAGACAGGTACAAGAGGAGTGTTGTTAACGCTTGTGTCGACCGTGCTCTCAGCCACAGCTCAGGATGGAAGCAAGTCGATGAAGAACTCTGTAGGGTAAGGCAGGTCCTAGTCAACAACTGCTTCTCCAATGGTTTCGTTGTAGACATCATAAGAAGGAAGGTGAAACGCCATGCAACCTCTGAAGAGACAACTAACACAACACCTGTTCCCCCTATTAGACTATTTTACAGGAACTTCTCTTCCACAGCTCATAAAATGGAGGAAAGGGTCCTGAAAGATATTGTTAATCGAGACGTTATCCCTACAGACAAAAATCAGAAGATACAATTGACTATCTACTATAAAACCAAGAAAACGGCCAACCTACTCATGAGAAACTCTCGAGACACAAAGCAGAACACTTTAAAAGAGACCAATGTCGTCTATGCCTTCAAATGCCCATTTGGGGACTGTAAGCCTCAAAGAATTCAGTATATAGGCAAGACAATAACATCTCTTTCCAGGCGATTAACGATGCATGAGCAACAGGGCTCCATTAAGAAATATAAAATCTCTTCCCACAACCAGACCATCACCAGAGAAGTCTTAACAAAAAACACGGAAATCATCGATAGATACTGCGATAGCAGGCGGCTAGATATCTGCGAGGCACTACACATTAAGAAATCGACACCAGCAATCAACAGCCAATTAATGCACAACTGTATTCTACCCACTTCAAGACTCCGCACCAATATAGAAGCATCAAGAAATATGAGCCAATAGGCCCTTTGCAGTTACTTCCATTCTTCCCTTTAACTTACAAAATATTATATCCATTGTTTCGTGTTCTGTCTTGTGTTGAAAGCTTGTTTTCACCTCATCCAAAACTGTTGTAACATATTACCCCACCCAAATGCAGGTACAAAATCGAAGCTGTTTAAACTCTGTTCAGTTATAGTTGTGTGTGTGTAAACTAAAGTCTTTGAAAATGTAATAAGATTCACGAAACGCGTTCAAGTGTCGTGTCAGACTAGAAATAAAAATGAATTTTGGAGAACTGATTTTTCAGTTACCATCAACAGTGAAAAGAAATATAAGAAACATCGAGAAAATTCGTGTTAGAATTTTTAATCTTACTTTTTCGGTCATATAATATATATATATATATATATATATATATATATATATATATATATATATATATATATATATATATATATATATATATATATATATGTCGTACCTAGTAGCCAGAACGCACTTCTCAGCCTACTATGCAAGGCCCGATTTGCCTAATAAGCCAAGTTTTACTGAATTAATATATTTTCTCTAATTTTTTTCTTATGAAATGATAAAGCTACCCATTTCATTATGTATGAGGTCAATTTTTTTTTATTGGAGTTAAAATTAACATAGATATATGACCGAACCTAACCAACCCTACCTAACCTAACCTAACCTATCATTATAGGTTAGGTTAGGTTAGGTAGCCGAAAACGTTAGGTTAGGTTAGGTTAGGTAGGTTAGGTAGTCGAAAAAACATTAATTCATGAAAACTAGGCTTATTAGGCAAATTGGGCCTAATAAGCAAAAAGCAAAAAATCGAGCAAAAAGTCTTAGTCGACATGAACTTGAAACAGGCCATATACTGCAGGTATGTTGACGACATTTTTACACAGGTACCTGATGTCAGACATCTGCAGGAGCTGAAGGAGGCATTTGAGCGGAGTTCCGTGCTGCGTTTCACTTACGAGATGGAAAAGGATGGGATGCTGCCCTTTCTAGATGTAACAGTCATGGAAAAGAGCGGAGGTTTCCACACTGCAGTCTACACTAAGGAAACGAACATAGGAATGTGCCTAAATGCCAAAGCGACTGCCCAGATAGTTACAAGAGGAGTGTTGTTAACGCATATGTCGACCGTGCTCTCAGCCACAGCTCAGAATGGAAGCAAGTCGACGAAGAACTCTGTAGGGTAAGGCAGGTCCTAGTCAACAACGGCTCCTCCAATGGTTTCGTCGAAGACATCATAAGAAGGAAAGTGAAACGCCATGCAACCTCTGAAGAGACAACCAACACAACACCTATACCCCCTATTAGACTATTTTACAGGAACTTCTTTTCCACAGCTCATAAAACGGAGGAAAGGGTCCTGAAAGATATTGTTAATAGAAACGTTATCCCTACAGACAAAAATCAAAGGATACAACTGACGATTTACTATAAAACCAGAAAAACAGCCAGCCTACTCATGAGAAACTCTCCAGACACAAAACAGAACGCTTTAAAAGAGACCAACGTCGTCTATGCCTTCAAATGCCCTCTTGGGGACTGTAAGCTCCAAAAAAAACAGTATATAGGCAAGACAACAACATCTCTTTCCAGGCGTTTAACGATGCATAACCAACAGGGCTCCATTAAGGAACATATAATCTCTTCCCACAACCAAACCATCGCCAGAGAAATCCTAGTAAACAACACAGAAATCTTTGATAGATACAGCGATAGCAGGCGGCTTGTCGTTTGCAAGGCACTACACATCAAGAAGTCAACACCAGCAATCAACAGCCAATTAATGCACAACTATATTCTACCCACCTCAAGACTCCGCTCCAATATAGAAGCATCAAGAAATATGGACCAATAGGCTTTCTACAATCACTTCTATTCAATACCCATTGTTTCGTGTTCTGTCTTGTGTTGATGAAATTAATACCTTATTAAATACCACCTCACCCCATCCATCTCACTCAAATGTAGATATAAACAAATCGGAGATGTGTAAGTTCTATTCAGTTGTGTATGTTTAAACTAAAGTCTCTGAAAATGTAATAAGTTTTACGAAACGCGCTCAAGTGTCGCGTCAGACTAGAAATAAAAATTAATTTTGGAGAATTGATTTTTGAATTACCACCAACAGTGAAAAGAAATGTACGAAAGAATGAGAAAATTCGTGTTAGAATTATTAATCTTACTTTTTCGGTCATATTTAATATATATATATATATATATATATATATATATATATATATATATATATATATATATATATATATATATATATATATATATATATATATATATATATATATATATATATATATATATATATATATATATATATATATATATCTTCAGCGTTGTCTATTCCATTCTTCCCTGTCTCCTCCATCTTTATCAGTCTGTTCCATTTCTTCCTAGTTCATGTGGCGTCACAGCCTTCCGTACGAAATTTCACTTCCCGGAATGTGACTTGACACTTTCCTCTGCCGTCATTTAAGACATTGAAGAGGTTGCAAGACCTCCTCTGTCTGCGTGACAGTTGAGCAGCTGTAGACAGGGAGGCAAGGGCCTGTCCGGACCGTCGCGGTATTTAGCCATACGGTACATTGGCCTCCTGCACCCATCCACTGCTTCTTGTCTTCTGTTTATCTTCCTGCTTCTTATTATCTTCCTTTCTGCCTGTTTCTCCTTCACCATCATCTCTTTCCTCTCTTGTAGCTTCGTCTGTCGTGTCTTTCTACTTTTGCTGTATCGTCATTCTTATCCTCTTCCTTCTTCTCCTCCTTTTCTTTCTTTTCGTTCGCCTCTTCTTCCTCACCTCCCTTTTCCTTCTCGTCTTCCTCTTCGTTCTTATCCTCCTTCTGCTTCTCCTTTTCTTTCTGTGCTTCCTCAACTTATAACCCAAATGCAGTAGAGTGTATATTTACATCCAGTATGTTTGGTACATTTACAGAAACCTACACAAAAGACCACATGGATAGTGAAATCTGGATTCCGGATTATAATCCATATAGATGTGACAGAGTAATTAGGTCAAGTGGAGGAGTAGGTCTATATATTAAAGAGGAGCTGGCATGCACAGAGCTCCTGAACTCGTCCAATGAGGTGGTAGAGGTACTTGGAAACAAGGTTGAAAATATGAATCTACTAATTATTTTAATATACAAACCGCCAGATGCAGCAGTTGAGGAATTCACTGAAGAGATCCACAAAATAGAGAATATCCTTGATAACCTAGCAAACCCAGTACCAGACATCATCTTCCTTGGAGACTTCAATCTACCCAGTTTAAAATGAAGAATAGTAAACAATAACATTATAGCAGGAAGTCCACCTGGAAATAACCAACCACAGGTCAGAGAACTACCCAGATTCTGTGACAAATTCTCGCTCAGTCAGCAGATTATAGAACCAACTAGAAAGCAAAACCATGTCAGGGGGGAGAGCTGGAGCCGTGTCAGGGGGAGAGCTGGAGCCGTGTCAGGGGGGACCTGGAGCCGTGTCAGGGGGGAGCTGGAGCCGTGTCAGGGAGGAGCTGGAGCCGTGTCAGGGGAGTGAGCTGGAGCCGTGTCAGGAGGGAGCTGGAGCCGTGTCAGGGGAGTGAGCTGGAGCCGTGTCAGGGAGGGAGCTGGAGCCGTGTCAGGGGTGAGCTGGAGCCGTGTCAGGGGGAGTGAGCTGGAGCCGTGTCAGGGGAGAGCTGGAGCCGTGTCAGGGAGGAGCTGGAGCCATGTCAGGGGAGTGAGCTGGAGCCGTGTCAGGAGGGGGCTGGAGCCGTGTCAGGGGAGTGAGCTGGAGCCGTGTCAGGGGGGAGCTGGAGCCGTGTCAGGGGGAGTGAGCTGGAGCCGTGTCAGGGGAGAGCTGGACCCGTGTCAAGGGGGAGCTGGAGCCGTGTCAGGGGGGTGAGCTGGAGCCGTGTCAGGGGGGGGGAGCTGGAGCCGTGTCAGGGGTGAGCTGGAGCCGTGTCAGGGGGGTGAGCTGGAGCCGTGTCAGGGGGGGAGCTGGAGCCGGGTCAGGGGGGGAGCTGGAGCCGTGTCAGGGGAGAACCGGAGCCGTATCAGGGGGGACCTGGAGCCGTGTCAGGGGGGAGAGCTGGAGCCATGTCAGGGGGGGGAGAGCTGGAGCCGTGTCAGGGGGGAGCTGGAGCCGTGTCAGGGGGGAGAGCTGGAGCCATGTCAGGGGAGAGCTGGAGCCGTATCAGGGGGGGAGAGCTGGAGCCATGTCAGGGGGGAGAGCTGGAGCCGTGTCAGGGGGGACCTGGAGCCGTGTCAGGGGGGAGCTGGAGCCGTGTCAGGGGGGGGGGCTGGAGCCGTGTCAGGGGGGAGCTGGAACCGTGTCAGGGGGGACCTGGAGCCGTGTCAGGGGGGACCTGGAGCCGTGTCAGGTGGAGCTGGAGCTGTGTCAGGGGGAGCTGGAGCCGTGTCAGGGGGGAGCTGGAGCCGTGTCAGGGGGAGCTGGAGCCGTGTCAGGGGGGAGCTGGAGCCGTGTCAGGGGGGAGCTGGAGCCGTGTCAGAGGGGGGGGAGAGCTTGAGCCATGTCAGGGAGGGAGAGCTGGAGCTGTGTCAGGGGGGGGAGCTGGAGCCGTGTCAGGGGGGGAGAGCTGGAGCCGTGTCAGGGGAGAGAGCTGGAGCCGTGTCAGGGGGGGAGCTGGAGCCGTGTCAGGGGGGAGAGCTGGAGCCGTGTCAGGGGGGGGAGCTGGAGCCGTGTCAGGGGGGAGAGCTGGAGCCGTGTCAGGGGGGAGAGCTGGAGCCGTGTCAGGGGGGAGCTGGAGCCGTGTCAGGGGAGAGCTGGAGCTGTGTCAGGGGAGAGCTGGAGCCGTGTCAGGGGGAGCTGACGCCGTGTCAGGGGAGTGATTTGGATCCGTGTCAAGGGGGGAGCTGGAGCCGTGTCAGTGGGGTGAGCGGGGTCCGTGTCAGGGGGGGGGAGCTGGAGCCGTGTCAGGGGGGAGCTGGAGCCGTGTCAGGGGGGAGCTGACGCCGTGTCAGGGGAGAGCTGGAGCCGTGTCAGGGGTAGCTGGCACCGTGTCAGGGGGGAGCTGGCGCCGTGTTAGGGGGGAGAGCTGGCGCCGTGTCAGAAGCGACCTGTTCTTCATAAATGCGGGACTTGAGGTCTCAGCGGCAGAGCGGAGGAAGCCCGCTTATTGACATTAGTATACATTGCCTTCCCTACCCCATTAGTATACATTGTACTTCAGTATGTATACGGTATACATTAGTATACATTGCCTTCCCTGCCTCAGGATCCCTCACCACAAGCCGGGCTTCACTGCCCCGTCGCCGGCGGGACATCTCGCTCCAAGCCCCGGCAAACTAAGATCACTTTTTACCAAGTTATCTGAAGCACGCGCGCGCAAATCCGTTATGAGTAAATACGTGGAGAGACGCTGAAAAATAACAAGCGGGAGCCCGCAACAGGGAAGAGAAGAATGCTGGAAACACGTGAAGGGATTTTTTTAACCCAAGCTAATGAGGAAAAAGCGAGAAAGAGGATGGTAGCCAGCCGCCAAACTCAGCTCAGTTTCCACCTGGGCGGGGCGAACATGGAAAGAATTTTCGAACAAAATTTCACTAGCCTCCAGCGGCCATTGGGTTCTGGTCCTTGTAAACATAATTCAGATGAAAGTGTCAGATGGAGGTAGTTCTAAGAGCAGCAAACATGGTATTATGTCAATATCTGCAATGTGAAGTTGGATTAAGAGCTCAGGAACTCGTCCGTGTGTAACACGGGATACAGGGTATTAGCTCTACCCTGTCCTTTACCCTGTCCGTGAATATGCTTACTTAAACTTAATTCCAAGGACCCCAGAGCTAACTCTCAACCTAGTCCCACGCCACGTGGTCTTAGCCGCTCGATCGGCTAAGGTTCTACAGCCACGTGACGTCATACTAGGTTTTCTAGCAAACTCAAGGATCTCTTTACGCCGCCACCACCAGACCATTAACCAAAATCTGTCAAATTAATCAGGGGTCTGGACCAATTAATCACTCCTTTAACCCTTGGGGCTTAATTCCCAAATTACTTGGAAAAGGGGGAAAGAATTTACTTTACGAGTGGGAATTACTCAAACAAAACAAAGGGATATATTAAACTCTTGAACTGGGCTAGGCTTGCGACCCATATAAACCAGACTCTTGGAGATCAAATGGCAAGGACCATCACATGCCCAATCATTCATGGAAATAATAATATACCGAGGAACAATCTATAAAAAAATCACTCCCTGACATAACACTCCCTAACATGACTTTTTAAAAACTTTTAATATTCCCTATTGAGGCACGAATGAATCATTTCCCTATACCAAAACTCAGCAACTTTTACTTTGACTATGGGACCAGCCGATGGAGTGCTGATCTCTGAAGAGGTGAGAATGGTTGACAGTTGCAGCCCAAATCCACACTGCCCCGCCTAGATCTCCTCGCAACGGAGGCTAGTGGATATTACTCCGCCAGGTCTAATAAATTTACTAAGCAGGGTTTAAATTGAACAACTATTCTCTATTGTACTGAACAACCCAGCTGGTTGAACTCTTATAAAACTGATGGTAATTGTTACGGACCCGAGTCCAGCATCGGAGCATGGAGCAGTGACAACAACGCCATCTGTGAGTCCGCTCCCGAAACCTCCTCCAAATGGACGACGCCATCTGGTGATGACGAGAAACGCCGGCAATACATGCTGGATTGCCGTCTTAATTGGCTCGTGGAATAGCCGCTGCTGACCGCTGGTGAGGTGGCGCTTAGACAGCAATGCCATCTATGGAGTGAAGAGGTGGACGTTTGTGTCTAAGCTTGTACGTGAGGTTCCCTAGAGCGTCCCAGTATTAATGACATATCTGATTACAGAGTCGACCTGGGACTGCTGTGTTGGACGATGGGGCAGTCGACCCAAGGCAGCCAAGGTCTCTTCACGAGTTTGCTTTGAAGAAGCTGTGAGCCACCTCCGGACGAACTCTGTTGAGAGTGTAATAGCCTGCTTGAGGCGTGGCAGTGTCGGGAATCGCCTTAACCAGGGCTGGTTGGTGGAAGAGACTAGCCACTGTGGTGCTTAGTGAGGAGAGTGATCAGCGGGTCACACGAGGCTCCTGCCTAGGGTTCGCAACCCTAGTATCAGTCGTGGAATGGCCTACACAGCGGAGCTGATCGGTACCTGCCAGCTACAGGCTGGATTGTGGTTGAAGGCCTCCACGACGAAGCACCCAGTGGGACTGTGATTTGGCTGGCCTTTGGCCAGGGTAGATTCGTCATAGAGTCATAGTGAATTCATCGTGGGCCTCGGAAGAAGGAACCAGGGCTACCCAGAGTGAGCACCGTTGAGCATCCAGTGTCTTCGGAGGAAGACGAACCTGTACATAATCGTGTATTTATAATCCCCGTGTGTGACTGTTATTTATTTATACATGGTGGTGGAAATATATATCAGAAAAACTGGAACATTTGTATCCCTCCCCCTTTAATTTAACTTGCATTACGGAACACACCCCTTGAAAGCCTCTACTAACTTGGGGCCGGATTCCCAAACTCTACTACCATCAGAGAAGAACCCGGTTGTGTCCCAGTAGGGCCGTAACATAATTGGCATCCCTAGCAGGGTCCGACCCCTTGTCAAGTATGTTTGACAGGAGTGGTGATGTAGCGCAATCCCCTGTAAATAATTCCCCCTGTTTATAATTATTTGGACGTTGTACGTCCTGTGCAGTGCTCGCTGTGATTTAGTGCAATATTGGAGAGTGCGGTGCTCGGTATGATTTAGTGCAATATTGGCAAGTGCAGTGCTAGTTGCGATTTAGTGCAATATTGGCGTTGTATGGTGCTCGGTGTTTAGTGCTCAAGTGAAGCGACGTGTTGAGTGCTCGTGCGCCACTTAAGTGACAATGGCGGAAAAAGTGACCCTCGAAGATCTAGACGATGTTCAGGACTTTCTGAACAAGGAGGACTGTTTTGCCAGATTGAAATATCTGGGAAAACAAGAACTGGTGCTAGTAAGCGCATATCTGGAGATAAAAATACGCGAAAGTGACTCACATGTTGAGATCTTGTCAAAGGTTCACAAACATTTGAAGGCCGGGGAAAAACAGGAAAGCGAGGCACAGAGTACAAAGGAAAGTGAGGTGGTAGCTTCCACTGAAAAGGAAGATAAAGGTAGTGACATTGAAAGTGATGCAGATGAACTGAATATAAGCTTTCTAACTGTCAAAATGCGTGCCTTAGAAATAAATCGTGAGATAGAATGGAAGAAATTAGAAATAGAACGAGAATTGAAAGATAAAGAAATGAAAATGAAGCGTTTAGAATTAGAAGAAAAGGAAAAGGAAAGACAAGAAAAGGAAAAGGAAAGACAAGAAAAGGAAAAGGAAAGACAAGAAAGGAAAGAAGAGCGAGAAAGAGAAGAAAGAAGAGAAAGAGAACGAGAAGAGCGAGAAAGAGAAGGAGAAGAGCAAGAGAGAGAAGAAAAAAGAGAAAGAGAAGAGCGAGAAAGAGAAGAAAAGGAGAAAGAAAGAAGACACGAGATAGAAGTATTGCGATTAGGCGGTCAGAGGAAAACAACAGAAACGAGTTGTTTCGATCCGGTAAGGAACATCAAAATGGTCCCTAAATTCAACAAAAGGGAAGTGTTGAAGTTCTTCGCAGCCTTCGAGAAAGTTGCAGCCTCTTTGGAGTGGCCAAAGGAGAATTGGGCCATCATGATGCAGTCCGTCTTGACTGGGAAGGCCCAAATTGCCTACTCCATGTTGTCCCTTGATGACTCCTGCGATTATGACTAGCTGAAGAAGGTAGTGCTCATGGCTTACCAGTTGGTGCCTGAGGCTTACAGGCAGAAATTCAGGAACCTGAAAAAGACCTCGGAGTACACGTTCACAGAGTTCGTGACCATCAAGGAACGGCTTTTCCAGGAGTGGTGTGCTTCTCGAAAGGTGAGGACGAAAGAAAAACTCGAACAGCTCGGTTTGTTGGAGGATTTTAAGGAATGTCTGTCTGGAGATCTGAAGACATACCTAGAAGAGCAACAGGTAGAGACCTTACGTGCAGCAGCCACTATGGCTGAAGAATACATCCTAACACATAGGTCTTCCACTAGGTATGTCCCTAGGAATTACCCACGTCTGTTTGGCAAACCTCGTCAAGACGAAGAGAGACCCGTCCCACAAAGCACTATGAAGACGCCCCCAAGTAGCCCTCGAAGGACTAGTCCTAGCAGTCCGAAACACCGTAGTCCGAGGAGGAATGTAGTGTGTTGGACTTGTGGGCAGAAAGGGCATGTTGCTGCTATGTGCCGAGGCAGAAGAGGTAGCGGTCCACGTAGGGAGGTGATGCTGATGGGCTGTGTGACACCACCGGTAGGAACCCAGTCTCTGATGACTAGTCTGGAAGGACCAGGATTGTTTGCCCCTCACACTTCAGGCGGGTATGTAACGACTGATCATACTGGTAGATCAGTTGTAGTGCTCAGAGATAGTGGAGCAGCCCAGTCCCTGATCGTGAGAGACTCGTTACCCGAGGGAGTGAGTATAGACAGGAGACAAAAAGGTTGTCCTGGTTGGGTTTCCTATGACACGGTATGTTGCCCCCTTAGTGCCGGTACATCTAGACTCGCCTTACTTCAGCGGCACATGTGCGTTGGCAGTAGTTGATACCCTGCCTATAGCTGGGATTGACGTAATACTAGCCAACGACTTGGTGACAGGTTGGAGCTACAATCATCTCAAGATTGTGGACGAGTCAGCCAGAACAGCAAGGAGGTCTGAGGTAACAGCAGGCATTGGTAATATCAAAATACAGGCAGACGTACAACTACTTAACTTGTCTAATCCTTCCTCTACCCAACAGATCGAGAGCATTGTAACAGCTTCTCCCAATTCTTCTCCCGACAAGAAACATGAGGTTATGGTGACAGAAGCGACTGAGCAAGAGGAGAGGCCTCGTGTACAAGTACCCACGGATACCCCAAGAGTCTGGAGTGAAGGCACATGAGTACTTGCGGTATGGCAAGGTACAACGTTCATTGAACCGACCAGAGATTCCCCAGACGTCAGAGGTATGTGAGGTAAGTGCGCAGGCTCTAGTGCCCTCTTTGATCCAAGCCAGGCTAATGGAGATCGCCAGCTATGGACGTGATAGGCTCATGAAGCTTATTCCTAAATGTTTCTTGGCAGTATTTTGTTTTGTTCTCGTGTGTGTTCTAAGTAAGGACCAGTGGACGACCCGACAGATGATGGCTCCTATGAACATCGTAAAGAGACCCCAGGGATTAGAGACTTGCACTGTGAGTATTGCAGTCGAAGAAGGGACCTGGAAGGTGATGGTGGATACAGGAGGTATGAGAAATGATATTATGAGTGACTGTTTCCGACAGGTTGACACCCCCCGTGTGATTGCTGAGCCTGGATTCAGCATTATACGGAACGTTGGTCGATATGACGGTGGCAGAGCAGACACCATCTTTAATGTACAAGCAGCTCTGTTGAACGGTTATGCTGTAAGTACTGACTTAACAACTATCGCTGTCACTCTAAATTATCAGATCCCTGTATTCCAGGTTCCCGTCTCCCTGAAGGACTACCGGACCGGTACAAGAAATTCCGTCGGTGACCAGCCATCAACGGTGCCACGACACAGGGAGGTGTCGATTCACCCCAGATCACGCCTGTGCCGGTCCTTACTCGAGACGCGCGAGATCATTAAGCCCCTGATTAACATCTCGGTGAGGTTGTGGGAAAGCACGTCAGGCAGGACATCACCTATAATCCTCAAGTTTTTCTTGTGCCAGAATCTCCCATTAGGACAGTTTTGCGGACAAGACATCCTCGCCACTCCAGTCCATTGTTTATGTGAGTCCATTTGGAGTTGTACCCACGTACTAATTTGGTTTGTTTTCCCTTTTATAGAAACCCAAACCAAATTCTTTTTGGTGGGGAGGTGTTACGGACCCGAGTCCAGCATCGGAGCACGGAGCAGTGACAACTAACGCCATCTGTGAGTCCGCTCCCGAAACCCCCTCCAAATGGACGACGCCATCTGGTGATGACGAGAGACGCCGGCAATACGTGCTGGATTCCCATCTTAATTGGCTTGTGGAATAGCCGCTGCTGACCGCTGGTGAGGTGGCGCTTAGACAGCAACGCCATCTATGGAGTGAAGAGGTGGACGTTTGTGTCTAAGTTTGTAAGTGAGGTTCGCTAGAGCGTCCCAGTATTAATGACGTATCTGATTACAGAGTCGACCTGGGACTGTTGTGTTGGACGATGGGGCAGTCTACCCAAGGCAGCCAAGGTCTCTTCATGAGTCTGCTTTGAAGAAGCTGTGAGCCACCCCCGGACGAACTCTGTTGAGAGTGTAATAGCCTGCTTGAGGCGTGGCAGTGTCGGGAATCGCCTTATCCGGGGCTGGTTAGTGGAAGAGACTAGCCACTGTGGTGCTTAGTGAGGAGAGTGATCAGCGGGTCACACGAGGCTCCTGCCTAGGGCTCGCAACCCTAGTATCGGTCGTGGAGTGGCCTACACAGCGGAGCTGATCGGTACCTGCCAGCTACAGGCTGGATTGTGGTTGAAGGCCTCCACAACGAAGCACCCAGTGGGACTGTGATTTGGCTGGCCTGTGGCCAGGGTAGATTCGTCATAGAGTCATAGTGGATTCATCGTGGGCCATGGAAGAAGGAACCAGGGCTACCCAGAGTGAGCACCGTTGAGCATCCAGTGTCTTTGGAGGAAGACGAACCTGTACATAATTGTGTAGTTATAATCCCCATGTGTGACTGTTATTTATTTATACATGGTTGTGGAAATATATATCAGAAAAACTGGAACATTTGTATCCCTCCCCCTTTAATTTAACTTGCGTTACGGAACACACCCCTTGAAAGTCTCTACTAACTTGGGGCTGGATTCCCAAACTCTACTACCATCAGAGAAGAACCCGGTTGCGTCCCAGTAGGGCCGTAACAGTAATTGTACAGGCATGTTAGGGAAAGGCTATTACCAATTACAATATTGGCTATTGATCTGAATTTGGACTTTGTGAATTACTAATGTGGTCACTCTCTTGGGCCGCGTGACCTTGACATGGTGAGTCATCTGGAACGCAAACTAGTCCCTCCACATGCCGTCATTTCTCTGCCTGTATACAACCCTGATCTCAACCTTCATTCTACATACATGTAAACCTAACATACATACATAAGCCAAAGTAGTTATTACTGTATTTTGTTGTTCTATTCATTATATGTTTCTTTAAAACAAAGCAAACGGCCATCTTGTATTTCTAAAGGTGTTAGTCCCTAAATCCGAGGAGAGATAACCCATGCTCCCAGAATCAGGTCGACTACCTTGTCACTGCATATTTTGTACAAGGGCATATGCCACTGCCTTCCATACAATCACCTATTTAAAACAGCTTCAGCTGTTACACGTGCAAGGTGTCATGGACCACACTGCAAATTCACAAGGGCCGTGATGAGGGTTCAAACCTACGTCTGGGATGATCTTCGACGAGCCTTAGTCGATTTGTTGAAGCACGTTATTGTGATTTCTGTGTGTATGGACAGAAGAGGTTTACAAAAAGATGGGTAGAATAGAACTGAAGTAATCTAAACATAAAATAAACGAACGTGGGAATCGTAAGAGAACGTATCAATACGAGAGTGATAAACATCCAGATGTAAAGAGCAACCGAGGCTAAAGCAGAGGAAAGTGGGGCCAAACTGAAAATGACAAGGAAATATGTGAAATATTAAACAAAAGTTTCCATGTGTTCAGAATAGAACTTGATCACCTGCCAGTTGTGGGATATTTGGGGCTTGAACATGATTATTTAAATATTAATGTAGTAAATTAAATTACGAAGGACCACCCGCTTTAATAGTAAAGAGGGAAACTGCGAATTTCTGATCATTAGATAATTCCTAGATGAAACCAGTAACTATGGATAAAACTAGAAAATATGATCATAGAAATAATTAATGGGCTGTATTATTAAATGAAACAAACCTCAAACACCTACATTGGGGGGTTATTACTGGAGGTAAGTACGTCCAGGAATTAGTGTGGTTCGTTCACTAATTCAATTAATAATAATCTAATCCTATAAAATAATATTGAAACTGATATCATTACCATAAAGGGGAACATAGAGTATGAGCATAGTAATGAATTACAGTAAACCACATATTAATCCCAAAGAATTCTGCACACAAGAAATTGCAATAGAATCATAAAAGGAAATAAATCTTAGCTTAATGAAGATTCCTTTAGAAAGCCATGGAAGTTCCTCTTATTCTCTGGACTCGGTCGACTGACGAGTGGAACGGGTTAACATGGGAAAAGGCAGCATGGAGAATTCTTCTCTCGTGCTGCAAGACAAATATTTTACAGTAGCAACTGATTTACCTACTGAATCTATATATTCAAGAAAATTAATAGTTACAGGTGACAAATTTTAATCACCTGTTATTAGATGTTATCGTGAGTCATAACGGACAATCACCCTGCTACTATTAAACCTTTTACCTGATGCATCACATAAAGGAATATACTTAGCTGTGGGCACTGTATAAGTATTAAGATTGCCGTTCTTCGCGTCCCAGGCTCTGGTTAACCCTATCCTGGATAGTGACGCGCTTCGCTGGCCGGTCACGTGTCGTCAAGAACCAAGTCAAAGGGCTCCTTATTCGACACCAGCACCAGCTGAAGATACTATCTGCAAGGTTATTCACGCCTCACAGTGGCGACTTTCATCTGAGGATGGATAACGCCTGCCCTAGTTGCTGGACAATGGCGTCTTCTTATGAGTACGGTAAGCGCAGGTCTGCTTCTGAACGGCTCTCCACGTGTACTGAGCTGGCCTTCCTCTACCCACGCCGAGTCCGCGTTCATAAAACAAATTATTGTCTCGAACATTAATATTTCTCGCATTTACGCTTGAAACGTTGAAGACTGGACGGGTTTATTATTTAGAGGAAGAAAATATTGTTATTTACCAATTTAAGAATAGTAAATATATAAGGGAGAGGAATTAATGTCTCCCCATGGCATTCACTGGTGACGTTAACTTTATCACGAGATAGACGCTATGATTCCAACGCTCTATTCGGCTTTTAGTTAGAGATCAATTCGTCTGCAATTAGTTATCATACAGAATGCTTTAATTATGGAGAATCGAATTTAATTCTCACATACATTGGATATAATGTGTTTACTGTAAGGAAATCTGACGCAATACTGGCGTCAGGTGACGTGAGAATTCTAGCCTACTGCACAGATGAAATTATTAGTACATGAGAATTCTACGTGTTGTTAATTTTACTTACTACAATAATTAGTATGGTTAGTAATAAGTAACGAGAATACAACAATGTTGTATTCGGTGTTGGAAATATCCAACATAACTCTGGGGGGAGGATTCTAGGGTCGTAGTGTACTGTGTTGTACTGACCTATCCCGAAGTGATATAAAGATTAATGCATTAGTATGTTAATATGTTAGTATACACATAACGAACGTCCCGGATTTATCAAGGACTTACAAGAACTTGAGTCTTGCGATTTACATGTCAAATGAAACATGTTGCTTATAGCATACACAATATTTATAGATTTTAACTCACACAATTTAAACTAACAGAATCTACTATGATGGGATATCTCATTGTAGCATCATCATAGTTATCTAAATGGGATGTGAAGGAAATTACTCATGTTCAGAGTTGTAATAGGCTTGCAGTTTCCCTTAGTGGAAACATGCATGAAATAATGAAACATTAAATGATTAAGTTATCGGTAATCAGGAACACTCTAAAGCTCACAATAAACTCAACAAATAGGGTCGCAGTGACATGTAATGGTGTATTACGTAGCTGCTGAATCGTAGGTAAACTCAGAATAAGTTCCTAAGAACTGATAACACTATTGTATGATTATACAGTAAAGTATTATTAGTCATTTAAGATCAAGGAGACTATGACACTACAGTAAGGTCACTGTGACTTGTAACTATTGAGTTACTAGACAATAACCTCACGCAGCATCACGATCACCTCAAATTCAAATGAGGAAATTGAATTAAATGTGCACTGCCGTGCAGTAGTCATGCTGACTGATGGTACAACTAATTTGCTAACTAGCTAAAATAATAGAAAAGTAGAGAACTGAAAAGTTTATTCATTAAAATCAAGGAAAATTCTGAGTCGACAGTGAGATTAGTAGCCTAGTCATTCTGACTTATGAGCTAATTAAATGGCAGCTCATAGGCTTGACACTGTAAACTTGTTAATACGAAATCACCTTTACATGAAATTGAGTTTATTAAATCAGTCTCTATAAGTATAGTCAACTGTAATTAATGGTGAGTACAGATTAGGCTAGTACTCAGTTGACACTAACTAAAGTCCCTAAATCTACCTAAATAAATGGTTTGAATTTCTAACCTACCTAAGTAAGGGACTAAGCTAATTGTGAGCAAAAATGTACTCGAATTAACATTGTGAGCAGTATTGAGCTCATTAACAAGTTGAGCTATAGTGAACTCGTGAACATGGTGAGCTATATTGAGCTCGTTAGCAGTGCTAACAGGGTGAGTTACAGTGAACTCGTCAACAGTGTTGACAGGGTGAGTTACAGTGAACTCGTCAACAGTGTTGACAGGGTGAGCTACAGTGAGCTCGTTAGCAGTGCTAACAGGGTGAGTTACAGTGAACTCGTCAACAGTGTTGACAGGGTGAGCTACAGTGAGCTCGTTAGCAGTGCTAACAGGGTGAGTTACAGTGAACTCGTCAACAGTGTTGACAGGGTGAGCTACAGTGAGCTCGTTAGC